CCTTCATTCCATCCACACCTTCCTTCCACCCACCCACCCATTCCTTCCTTCCAACCCTCCCTTTCTTCTATCCACCCCCTTCCTTCCACCCACCCTTCCTTCATTCCTTCCTTCCACTCACCCCCTTCCTTCCTTCCACCCCTCACTTCCTTCATTCCTTCAAGGGGGAGAAGTTGGGGGGGGGGGGTAAAAATGCAGGTCAGCTGCAAACTGCACCCCCCAGAAGAAAATGTTATCTACAGCTTTAAGTAACAAGAAGCTATTTTCTTATTACTCATGATTGTGTAACATGGCCTATGTCTATATTCTGGTCTGTGCATTTGCACAAATTAGCAAGATTCACAACTCATGTTTTTAATTTAGTAAACCTGAAAAAGGTCCTTTCTTGACCATTATGAAGAAATCAATGTGCTGCTAATGAGATGATTGTAAACAAGTAATTAAATCTCTCAGGAGCAAAGATATTTAATTGCCTGTTTATCCCCAGCCTTGACTGATAAGAGGGATACAACCTAATGGCACTGATCTCCCAAGATGCATGTAGAAGGCAGAACACTGTCTAAGCTTCATGTGACCAGTACAAGTTTGTGATTACATTTTTTCATCTTAACCATGAAAATAATTTTATGAACAATTTGTTTCACTTTTGGATATATTGTGAGGCCACCATGGGACTAAAGCCTAGTACACATGATCAGCAAATCTTACGAAAAAAAAAAACTGCTTTCGAAGCAATCGTACGATAATCTGATCGTTAGTACACAGCTTTCATCTGAAATTATTTGAAAGGATAAGCATGAAAATTTTTCTTGTACGATACCAGATTGTACGATTTTCGTTTAATCAGCACAGTTTTTGTCCGAAAATACAATACAAATACATTACATCACTTCTGAATTTTCTTTCTGTTTTACAAGAATCTTTGAAACTTTAGTAACCTCTTCACTTTCGATATGAGATTAGCACGCAAAAAGAAAGGGAACGATTATTCGTCCAATATTTTCATTGTTTGTTTTTGGGCTTTAGCATTGTTAACCTTTTACTCATATCTGCTGTAATGGGATATAATAAAAAAAAAAATCACACGACAGTGGGGGGGGGATAAGGATATATATCTCATAAACTAACTACATTTGGTTTTCTTCATATTCAGGATTTTCAAGTTCCACAGATAAGTCTGTTTACGAAAGAAAATGGAGAAGGCGATAAGGTGACAATCACTGGAGCCACTCCTGATTCACGTGTAGATGGCCACGCAACCAAAACAGAATCCATCATTGTGCACAATGGACTGTAAGTATCTACAGTACAAATGGTGATTGCAGGTGGAATGCACGTGACTAAGTATCAGTATTGTGATCAAGTAGGTTTAAAGGTCTAATAAAGCCTGTCCACACATATCATACATGTAGCGCTCACTCTTGAAGGAGCTCTTGCTTTTTCGGGTCCCCTGTTTCCAGTGGCCATGACTCTGAAAGAAGCACCATGCTCCCCAACACATATGTGGCTTTAAATGGGCTTTAATGAACAGGGAAGAAATGAGTGGAGCAAACAACAATGATAATACAACTCAACAGAGCATCTAAAGCAGCATAAAATTTTAACAGGAGAGACCATATATACAGTTGTGTTCAAAATAATAGCAGTCAGACATCACTAACCTGATCAATCACTGTTTTTGGTAGAAATTATATTTCTACATTGCAAATAATTTACTAGCAGGTGTAGTAGAGTAATAGAAATCCAACAGACCCAACAGTCATGACACGCATGCTGCTGATTCTGTGTAATTGAATCACTAATTGAAAGGGGCATGTTCAAAATAATAGCAGTGTGGAGTTCTATTAGTGAGGTCATTCATTCTTTGAAAAACAGGTAGCAATTATTGCCCTTATTTAAGGAAGGAAGGCAGCAAATGTTGTACATGCTGGTTACAGTGCATTTCTCTCTCTGAAATTCTGAGGAAAATGGGTCGTTCCAGACATTGTTCAGAAGAACAGCGTACCTTGATTAAAAAGTTGATTGGAGAGGGGAAAACATATAAAGAAGTGCAGAAAATGATAGGCTGCTCAGCTAAAATGATTGCAAATGCTTTAAAATGGCAACCAAAACCTGAAAGATGTGGAAGAAAGTGAAAAAAACTACCATTCGAATGGATAGAAGAATAGCCAAAATGGCAAAGACTCAGCCAACAATCAGCTCCAGGAAGATCAAAGAAGGTGTAAAGTTCCCTGTGAGTACTGTTACAATTAGAAGACACCTATGTGAAGCCAAGTTATCTGCAAGAAGCCCCTGCAAAGTCCCACTGTTGAAAAAAAGACGTGCTGAAGAGGTTACAATTTGCCAAAGAGCACATTGACTGGCCTAAAGAGAAATGGCGCAACATTTTGTGGACTGATGAAAGTAAGATTGTTCTTTTTGGGTCTAGTGGCCGGAGACAGTTTGTCAGACGACCCCCAAACACTGAATTCAAGCCACAGTACACTGTGAAGACAGTGAAGCATGGTGGTGCAAGCATCATGATATGGGGATGTTTCTCATACTACGGTGTTGGGCCTATTTATCGCATACCAGGGATCATGGATCAGTTTGAATACATCAGAATACTTGAAGAGGTCATGCTGCCTTATGCTGAGGAGGAAATGCCCTTGAAATGAGTGTTCCAACAAGACAACGACCCCAAACACACCAGTAAACGTGCAACATCTTGGTTCCAGACCAACAAGATTGACGTTATGGAGTGGCCAGCCCAATCCCCGGATCTTAATCCAATAGAAAACTTGTGGGGTGACATCAAAAATGCAGTTTCTGAGGCAAAACCAAGAAATAGAGAAGAACTGTGGAATGTAGCCCAATCATCCTGGGCTGGAATACCTGTTCACAGGTGCCAGAAATTGGTTGACTCCATGCAACACAGATGTACAGCAGTTCTCAGAAACAGTGCTTATACAACTAAATATTAATTAAGTGATTCAAAGGAAAGCAAAATCTTCAAATATTTTTCAGTTTATATAGTAAATGTTTGAGTTTGTAAAGAAGAATACAAACACTGCTATTTTTTGAACAGTCTAATATTCACTTTTCTTCAACTTTTTTAGAGGAACAACACAAATTTGATATATTTTTCTTCATGTTTTGATTTGGAATAGAATGTGTAGTGTTCCCAATGCATTTGTGTGTATGGAAATAAAAGCTATTAGAAGGATTTATTAACTTTTTTCAACACACTGCTATTATTTTGAACACAACTGTACATTTGTTGTAAATAACAGCAAACTATTGAGGTAAGCTGACTGAGAGTTAAAGAAACCACTATCTAAACCATTGGCCAAGTACAGTTAGTCAGTGCTGGGACCCTGAGTCTCCAATTGGAGCACTCTTTCTCACACAAGAGTATTTATAATCCTATGGGAAAAAAGTAAATGATGCAAGGCCAACTCTCTCCACAGACAGCAACAGTAAACAGCAATAACATCATGAGCAGTACAGAGGCCAGATGGTTAGCACTTCCACCTGGCAGTACTAGTGTCATTGGTTCAAATCCCAACCACGGCACCACCTGCCTGGAGTTTGCATATTCTCCCTGTGCCTGCATGGGTTTCCCTCGGGTACTCCGGTTTCCTCCCACACTCTGAAGACATGCTGGCAGGTTAATTTGATCCTGTCTAAATTGTCCCTTGTATGTATAAATGTGAGTTAGGGACCTTAGATTGTACACCCCTTGAGGGTTAGGGACTGATGTGAATATACAATATATATGTAAATTGACAGTGCTATATAAGTATCTGAAATAAACAACATCAGGTTCAGTATTAACAGCTTCCCCTCTGCTCAATAGCAGGCTTTTTGTCTTTCCTAGGAGGCACAGCAATCCATAGCCTTTTTCTCTATGTTCCTTGGGTGGTGGGGTGGGGCTTAATCAGCCTGCGTACAGTCCTGGAAATAGTCAGTGTTCTGTCCTTCTTACTGCAGCCACTCCTGTTCCTCTGTCAACTGCAGCAAGGGATGGGGGAGGAATAAAGGGGACAGCGTACCCTGACAGCCCAGTCCTGCTGCTACTCCTTCACTGCCTACTTTGCAAATCGGGCTGCATACCCAATCTCTATTATTTTCCTTGACTGAGATGGAGAATGTCTGGTTAAAATTAACATTAACATACAGGTACTATAATGTTTGCTTTGAACTAGTAATCCAGATGTGCTAAGAGACAAAAAAAATATTTGGGACTATTCTTTCCGTACTATTTTTGCAGCAGATCAGTAAGTCTGCATTCACACTTGAGCATTTTGTAGCTTGAAGCTCCAAAAAAGTTCAAATGGAAAAATTCAATTGTTCTCTATAATGCCTGTTCACACCTGATTGCGTGAACAGGCACCATAGAGAACAATTGATTTTTAAAGTCTGAGCGTTTTTGGAGCTTCAAGGTTTGAGCTTAAAGCTACAAAACGCTCAAGTGTAAATGCAGCCTGAAACTATCTGCTGAACCAAGCTGAACCAAGTTGAATCAGGCTGAACCAAGCTGAACCAGGCTGAGCCAAGCTGAGCCAAGCTGAACCAGGCTTTATTTACACATCATCTTCTACTTGCTTATGCAGAGCCTGTTTTTGGTTTTTCTTGATTAAACTATTTTTCCTTTGTGAAGAATTGTGGATGGAGATCATTCCATCCTAGCAAAAGATTTGTTCCTTCAATAACTTTTATTGTTTTTTTCAGAGACCATTTTTGTGCCCAGAAAAAGGAAATAGACACGTTTAAAACATTTTGTTAGTCACAATAAAGAGCATGAGGAACTTGGCTTTGTGCAAAATAAGCTGTCATTGGGAAAATAGTTTAACAGATTTTTTTTATTGGGTTTTAAAAAAAGGATTACATTTGAAAAAAAAGACACATAAGAGCTGTTCAACCCACCTCGCTGTGATGCAAGTCAACACACCACATTGTATGCATTGCAGCATGTGCATGTGTTGTGCGGCACAGTGATCACACACATTAAAGTGTTACTAAACCCACAACAGTAAAATCAGTCTGTATATACAGTAAAAGCATGCTTGATATACTCACTGTGAAACCTAAGGGGTTAATCCTCTCTATTGTCTAAAAATGTTGTTTGACCCTGACTTCCCTGATCCTCACTTTCTTCCAGTGCCCCCTCTAATCTCCTGATAAGACATATCATATGGAGACACTGCACATGCTAAGTTTGGTGTGTATTGGAGAGTTGTTTTTTTTTTGGGAGAGTGCATGTGATCAGCACAGGGCCAATCAGCACTGTACAGACAGAGGTCAGGGGTTCTGCATCCTCCTAGAGCAGAAAGAAAACTCCTTCTACAAGCTTTAACCACTGCTCTGCTGGACACTGATAGAAGTAACAAGACTGCTCTAACTGCTGATGGGAAAATGAATTTAGCAGTTAATATTTACTAAAATAATTGCATTTTTATGATCTGTGTACTTTGGGAGACCAGATATATTGAATGCAGAGTCCTGGGTTTAGTAACACTTTAAAGAAGACTATAAAGTGAGTTAAAGAGCAAAGGTGACCTATTTTGTTCTCTTTTCACAGCTGGCTGGTGTACAGCAAGCCATTTTTTGAAGGTGATCCTTACATACTAGAACCTGGAGGGTATCCAAACAGGAAAGCTTGGAATGGGCAGGACTCACGCTTGTGTTCCTTGCAACCTGCACGAATTGTAAGTAATTTCTACATTGCAATTACCCTCCTTTCAATCCAACTATGAGCTGTCTTCAGTTTTTACTATTGGTCTAAGTAGAGTTTTATCACACAGTACAGTTCTATTTAATACATATATGTATACGTTTTTTTTTTGTAGGGAGGCCCCACAGTGGAGAAACCTAATGAACCTAAGGTAAGTACAATTTGAGAAGTAGTAAAAAAGTGTGTGTGTGTGTGTGTGTGTGTGTCACAATTTCCTAAGTTTAAAAAATATTTAGGAAGGGACCCTAATGTGCAAGTGTATTTGAAAAGATTATTAATTATTTTACTACCAAGAACATTGTTGTAAATCAGTTTCTGTGCACAGCAGGGGCGTCCCTAGGGTTGGTGTCACCCGGTGCTGTAACACTTGGTGTCAACCCTCCGACAATTCCCGCAGGATGGATCGGATCTGCGGATTGAGCATAATGGATCGGAGTCCGATTCCATTATGCTCCCCAATCTGCATATCCGATCCATCCTGCAGGGATCGTCGGCTTGCTTTAAAACTTGCCTTTTCGTGGAGCTCATGAAGAGATTAGTTAACCCCATATAGGTATAGACTCCGATCCATTATTCTCAATCCGCAGATCCGATCCATCCTGCGGGGATCATTGGCTTGCTTTAAAACGTACCTTTTCGTGGAGTGGGTCCGGTGTCTCCCCGTGCAATAGGTGTCACCCGGTGCGGTGCACACCCCCTCCAACTGCCTTGGGACGCCACTGGTGCACAATAATTTATATACAGCCCAGTTTTGTCACATTGACTATAAACTGCAAGGGCTAGACCACCTGTTCTTTTATCACAGAGACTATCATTTTATAGCCAATAACTAATTAGTGGAGCCTTGCTAGTGCAATCAAGGTAGTGTTGGAATTTCCTTTATGGCCTGAACTTACACTTCCCTAGAAGAGCTTATTTTATTTAGCTAACATTACCAGCGTTATCAAAATGCCCCATGTGCATGAGTACTTAACCTCCCTGGCGGTATTCCCAGTGTAGCTCGGGGTAAAATTTCAGCACCACAAGCAGTATCCCGAGCTACACTCAGGCTTACCATGTGGCGCTGCTCTGGGATTCCCTGCAGCGCTAATCTTGTCCTTCGCTCCCGTGATGTGTCCCCTGCAGCGTCCCCGGCCATCTCCTCCAGCCGATGACAGCATCCGGCTTCCGTGTTCCTGTCCCTGTGATGTCGGGACGTACGGGCGCCGGCGGCAAATTTGAAAGTTTTAAAAAAATGTCATTTTTTAAAAAAAACGATTATTACATAGCAAAGCATTGCTGTTTCAAACCATTTCACATACATTTTGTCCCTAGTGCTTTGTCCTGTGCCCTGCCTGCATTTTTACTGTTCTTTCTGCCTGGAAACTGGAAAAGTCCATGGCATCCAAAAAAAGCGTCCCTTTAGGTGAAAAGCGGTTTTAGACCAGCTAGAGAACAGCGATAGTAATTTAGAACTACTTGCAGAATTGAGTGATAATGATTCGTGGGGAAATTCGTCATCAGACACTGAAAACGATTCTGCGATTTTGCTCAGCGATGTGCGAACTTGGCGCTATATTTCAAATTTCAGTGTTTTTGGTTTGATTATATTATTGAATTAAATGTATTATTATTATTTATTTTTTATGATTATTTATTAAATTATAATTTATGATTTTGTGTTTCAAGTTTTATCATATCCGGGATGTTTACTAGACTCTTGTTCGGACAGATTTCAGTGAGTTATTCCTAAAAATTACAGCCTACAATAAAAAAACTACATATTTCAATGCAAAATAATGGTACCGCTTTCAGCACAAAAAAATCTGAAATAATCATACCGCCAGGGAGGTTAAAGACAATTATTACCCTAATTACATATAGTTGTGGTTGTTAGCTTGTTCCTGGCTGATAATTACCAAGCTCAAACAATGCACAAATGACCCCTCTCCATTATCACATCACACTGGCCTTGCGCTCTGACAGTTTTGTTTTGGTAGGAAAATTATAACTTGAGGCTAACCCGTAACTGGAAATAATGACTTGAAATTAGGCAGCTTTATTATTAACTGTCCAATACTTACTAGGGAGGCAAAGCAGGCTGAACTGTCTGTACTGGCTGTCATCTCAGTGGCGTATGTTCCTCACTTTGTAGGCAGCATTTAATGAAAGAGTAGCCTAAAGGAGCACCTGGCATTAATTTTCAAGAACGGGGGTCTACATATTGCTTGGGCTAAACCCTCTCATAAGGGAAAGGTGACTGAGCACTGGAGCCTCCCAATATCATACAGTGAACAGCTAACACCTTTGAGCAGCCTCTTTCATTACCGCTCCCCACATACAAAGTCCTGATTGGTTAGAACTCAATAAAAACACCAAGCAGCCTATTCATAACAAAGAACAGATATCACTATCTGATCTCAGGTGGACACTGCAAGGATCATTCCATGCCCCGTCTGCATTTTATGTGCCATTCATAAAATGCAGACATCAGCAGGGCTGTGGATAAGGGGGTACCACCAGTCCTCCTGTACGGGGCCCAGGCAGCTGTGTGAATTGAATGTGGGCAGAGAGGGTGATCGGCATGGTGGGGGGGGCGGGCAATTACTGGAATCGATGCCCTGTAGGGCTCTCTGCAGCATCTGAAAGCTGGATTCTTCTCCTCTCCCACCTGCTGTTTTTCAGCTGCTGCAGAGAGAGCCATACAGGGGATCGGTTCCAGTAATTGTCGCCCACCATGCTGATCACCCTCCCTGTACACACCTGACTCACCCTGCTGCCTTGGCCCCCACAATGCTGGCTGCCCTCCTCTCCTTCCCACCGACAGCTGCAATCACACAATAGGATCCTTCAGGATGGAGAGTGGGGGAAGGGTCTGATAAATATGTCACATTAACCAGCCCCTTCCTTTCCTGAATGAACGGCACTGATCACTCACTTTGTTCATTCATAACTGAAGCATAGTAAACTGTTTTTTTTTTTCTTTCTGACGGGGGCCTTGTAAGGTTAGCTGTATGGGGCCCCCGTGGTTTCTAATAGCAGCCCTGGACATCAGCATGGAGCCTGTGGCATCCCACAAAGTGTTCTATGCATAATGTTGCAAAGGAACACTCCATAATTGACGTAAAGGATGGCAAAATGACTTTGACGGGTCCTCTTTCCAGCACTTTTTTTTTATTGACAAGGCTTTTTTTTATCAGAAAATAGGTGCAGGAACTAAACCATGACCCCCTAGTGCATAATGCAGGCCATAGATTTCTGATTTTCTTGTCAAATTATCGGCCCGAGAAAAAAATCGGCCGATATTCGTACCGTTAGTGGGGAAAAATGTGTCGGCCGTTTTTCTTAATTTTAAGAGATTTTGAAAATCGGCCATGCTGGAAAATCCTGGGACAATTTGTTAAATCGGCCGATTTTCGCGGTAATTTATGATCAAATCGGCCGTTCTTCTGGACGATTTGACAATAAATTGACTATGAAGAAAAAGAAGTAATAGAAGAAATAGATTTTGCAGGAAAAGAGGAAATAGAATATCAAGAAGAAGAATAGAAGAAAGGAGGAGAAGATGAAATAGATTTTGCAGAAGAAGATGGAGAAGAAAAAATGTTGCAACATTGTATCTATTTGTATGCATTTCGGATACAGATGTTTCTATTCAAGTACAAATAGATACAATGTTGTTTCTCTTCCTCTGCATAATCTATTTCTTCTGTCAAATATAATAGCGGGTCTCTATGCAGGGACACTGCTATTATATTTATTGACGGCTGTAGACGGGACTAAAACATGCCGACTTTTTTTTAAATTAGTGGCAACGTCAGCCGTCTGAATGACCGATTTACGATCTTTAAAAAAAAAAAAACGGCTGATTTTCCCCACGTCTATGGCCTGCATTAGACTTGTATGGCATTTGACAGTTGAATTACAGAGAGTGTTTAGCCTGTAAAGCCTGGGTCTAGTATGCAAAAGACTTCAGAGACACACAGGCACCAATCTGAAGACAAACAAAGGTACCTGCAAGTTCCACAAGATGCCTGCACTTCAACACTGTTGTTTCCTTAGAAATGTTTTAGTCCATGCTCACTTTAAAATTGTAAATTGTACAAATGCCATTCCTCCCTTGCAGATTCTTTTATTTAAATACCCTGGGTTTGATGGTCCAGTTTCTGAAGTCTCCAAAGACCTGAACTCTCTGCAGGGTGAACTAAAAAGTGAAGGAGAGTGTCTCCTTACTGTGGGGTCAATCAGAGTCCTGGGAGGGTGGTAAGTAAGCAACACTCACTGATACTTATAAATAAATGTCTTTTTAATAAGCTTTTACTAATGTGAAGTGGCTGCCTTTATTTTTCTTCTATGACTGCAGCTGGGTAGGATATGAAAAAGAAGGTTTCCGTGGTCATCAATACCTTTTGGAGCAAGGAAAATATAAAGATTGGTCTACATGGGGTGGATGTTCTGAAGAACTAGGATCAGTTCGACATATTTGTACTGTGAGTTAAGAGAGAGCATTTGCAAACATATCTTTAGTTAATGCTGCTGTAATGCAACGTACACACTGACATTATGCATGTGACAAATCTTTTTTGTTATCTAATCTGTTATAAATATTTATTACT